GCTGACACCTTGCAGTTAGATCTCAGATTGCTGTGCTAGCAATGAGGGAGGCTCTGTGGGCGTGGGACCCTCCGAGCCAGGCTCGGGATATAATCTTCTGGTGTGCCATTTGCTAAGACCCTTGGTAAAGCGCAGTATTAGGGTGGGAGTGACCCGATTTTCCAGGTGTTGTTTGTCACTGTTTCCCTTGGCTAGGAAAAGGAGTTCCCTTCCCTCTTGCACTTTCCGGGTGAGGCGATGCCTTGCCCTGCTTCAGCTCTCACTCGTTGGGCTGTACCCACTGTCCTGCACCGACTGTCTGACACGCCCCAGTGAGATGAACCTGGTACCTCAGTTGGAAATGCAGAAATCACCTGTCTTCTGTCACTCACGCTGGGAGCTGGAGGCTGGAGCTGTTCCTATTCGGCCATCTTGGCACCAACCCTGGCCTTTCTCTTTCAAGCAGTCATGAATTCCTTGGCAGTTGTGAATACCTTGGTTGCTGGCTGAGAGTTATAATGAGCTGTTCACACTAATTAACTTGGTAAACAGGAATGTAGTTCTCATAGGTCTGTTTTCTGTGTAGCTATTTTGTGTAGATGGGGAGGATATGTATTTACAGGTGGAACTTCTGTTTGTGTGGGCAAGGAGAAGGCATATTGGTAGACAGACAGACACATTCATGCAAACAACTGCAGAATTAGGAGAGGAGAGCTAGTTTGTTGCATGAATCAATCCTGAAGAGCTGGACATCCAGTTAAAAGGGAGAGAGGGGGAAGAGACTCTTCTACTAACAGTGCACTTTTATAAAGCCCTAACACCTCTCCTGATCTCTGTCTCACCCTCCCACCCATCTCACTGTGGTATGGGAAGGAAGTCAATGGAAAACACAGGAGCACATTATAATAATAGCCCACATGGTATCCCATCACACAAATAAGAGTGATGGTGACAATAAAATAACGGTAAGAAACACAGAAGGAGCGTTTCCTTGGACAAAGCACTCCAGAAACAACAACAAAAAGGTGCTGCCTTTCCGTCTATTCTATGAATCCCAGATGTCTGTTCTATCACTGTTCCTTTTTTGTTCTCCCTGGCAGAGTTTTTACAGCCCCTGCTCTTTTTCTAGATTATGCTGCATCTTCACAGTTTCCCCTAAATGACTCTGAAGAATTATAGACAGTGCTGTCTACAATTATAATAATGGATATGGTGATCCATTTCCAAGACAAAGTACTTCAAACAGGCTGAGGCCCACAAACTATGGAAGGACAGAATATACTAGGCCCGTGCTTTAATAGCTGGTGCATGCTTGTCGGGGCCCCCTTAGTTACCCTCGCCTGAACCAGAGTTTAGCCTAGAATGAAAGTTTACTAGCCAGCAAAATAGTTCACTTTATCTATTCTTATCAGCTTGCCTGACTACCTAGGTCATAAGTCAAACACTTGAAAAGCCCCTGAGCTGACTTTGATTGCAATGCATTATAGGCTGCAACAAAATACAGTGAGACAATCCTAAAGAAAACACCTAAAAGCCTCAACCCAGCAACCCATAGGCGACGTCTGGGAAGATTGTGACCCCATCATACTCAGCCTACGAGGAACCGGGGGAGAGACTTGTGCACTAGGGGATAAATTGCTTATTGTAACTGTACAAGGTGTGCCTGCCTACCAGACACTCAATTTTGCAAGACCGTCATTAAAAGTCTTGCTTCCACTGTTTTCTGTGTCTCTGAGTCCATTCTTTGGGCTTGGACGGGTGAGTTTGTTTCTCACAGTGCAGGTCTGGAGGTGGACTGAGATGGGGATAGAGGGACCGCTTTGAAACTTCAGGGTGGATGAATATGGGGAGCTTAGAGACAGCTGGTGTTTGGTGAGTAGTATGCTGTCAGATAAGTAAGAGCCAAGGAATCTCTTCCAAGTGGCTTTGCGTGGGCAGAGTTCAAAGAATGACACTGACTCACAGCTTTGAAAGGTTCTAGGGAAGACTTTATCCTGAGGTTTCGAGAGGTCTGAGAAGGTAGCAGCCACTTGGAACAGATCCAGGAACATCTTACTAAGCTGTTGATGCATTTTTTTCCTTATGCTTTCTGCGACTTCATACCCCACCCTTTCCAAGAGGATACTG